CGGGTCAAACTGTCCGTTGCGTGAGTAATTCCTTAATAAACTTCTCAGGTGGTAATTTCTGCCTCCTCGACGCATACGACGTCTTCTCTGACGGGCCGAAGTATTTGGATGGTGTGTTTCCTGGGAACAGATACACAGAATAAGCGTGCAATCAAGTCGCACCTCTCTTACTCTTGTATCCCGGAAGGGAAACGACAAGCGTGCGCTCGTGACGCACCTCTCTTGTTCTCAGAACAGAAGGAAACGACAAGCGCGCGCTCGTGACGCACCTCTCTTGTCTTCGGAACAGAAAGAAAAGACAATCGTGCGCTCGTGACGCACCTCTCTCGTCTTCGGAACAGAAGGAAACGACAAGCGTGCGCTCGTGACGCACCTCTCTTGTCTTTTAGGACAGGACTGACGCGTGAGAAGCCAGAAATTAAGTAACAATGTAACAACTCCGTTGAAAATAGGAAACAGAACGACAAGTTATAGATATATATGTATATTTATAAAAGAAAGGAATACTCGTTTGTAAATTAAAGAAGCTTAATTATATTACAAAATTCTTACCATAATAGGCTATTCCTAAGTCCGAATGTGACAAAAAAGATTCTAAGTCCGTATTATGAAAATATTTTAAGTCCGTATTACAAAAATATTCTAAGTGCGTATTGACTAAAAATATTCTAAGTTCGTATTGACTGACTGACTGAACTGAACTGACTGACTGACTCCGAATGACTCTACTCTGAATGCTCGAATGATTCTGCCTGTGCCGGTCGCTCCGGCCGCTTATATACCCTACAAAAGGTGCTGATGCAGCACTGTCCCACGGGTCCGTCGTTCAACGGTCTCACGCGGTCAACGGTCTTGCGCTCGCTCGGTTCCCGCGGTCGCGAGGCGTGCCTTATCTCCGCGCGTGCCTTATCTCTGTTTGCTCGCTCAGGCCAGCGCCGGTGGTCCTTCCGCGCAAGTTTTGTCGTGAGAAAAGAGCATTCAAGAATATTGAGAAAATTAAAAGAAACTACTACGGAATTATTACTAATAATATTAACATAAACAGAATTATTAGTGGAATACTATAACTAGCTGATATACTTACATTGCTATAAATCTGCCGTAACGGTTTGTATGCGCAACATTGGTATAATGAATTACATATAACAATAAATCATACATAATTAATCGTGGGCACTTTGAGTGTATAAAAAATTTGTCTCGACTCATGAGCACACAATTGAATAAGCATAATGGAAAAAAATATATTTGCGAAAGGTATGCTTGCATTATATGTATATATATGTGTACGTAAGAGATAATGAGAAATTAATGTATTATATATTTGCAGATGTTTACACTATTTCCATTCTCTGGATAAGGTGAGTGGTAACACCGTAGATTGCAGAAAACTAATTAATAATTGCGCGATTCGGTTATCAGCGGAGGACAACAAATGGCTCAGTTTCGGTAATCATAGCAGGAAGGAACGTCTCCCGTTTGTAGTATACGCCGACTTTGAGAACGTATTACACAAAATTGATGGAGAGCAAACATTATATACGTACCAACATCACAAGGCGTTCAGCATAGGCTATTACGTCTGCTGTTCATACAACGACTCTTTCTCTGCTTATCGGTATCGTCGCGGCAAAACTTGCATCACATGGTTTGTTGAAGAACTCAAGGATTTGGCTCATCGGGTAAAAACTATTTTATCTATCAATGTATCCATAGAATCGTTAACAGAAAAACAAAAGTCAGCTTATCGTAATGCGAGTTACTGTCACGTGTGTGAAAAACCATTTGCAGCGGATGATACAAGAGTTCGCGATCATTGTCATCTGACCGGTCAATACAGAGGTCCCGCGCACTCCAACTGCAACTTAAATTATAAAGATTCGCATTGTATTCCAGTAATTTTTCAGAATTTATATCCGGTTACAATGCATATTTTATTATTAAAGAAGTTGCGACTGCATTTGAAAGAAAAGTTACTGTTCTTTCTATTAACAAGGAGAGATACATATCTTTTTCCAAGAACGTCACGCAACCGGAAAAAAGCTCTCCAAAGAGTTACAATATAGA